CGCACCGCCGCTGCCGCCAAAACCTTGTTTCGCCGTCGCGTCGGATCGAGGCTTGCCAAAGGGCGCGTATCGGGGGGCGGCGGCGGGAGTCTCGAGGTGGTAGGGCTTCGGGCGGCCGTCTTTCTTGATTGCGACGACGGGCGCAGGGGAGTCTTTGATGGGTGTGGGGACGACGAATCGCGGTCGGCGTTTCGGCATGGGCATCGGCGGGTTATCGACGTCGATGGATTGGCCTTTTGCGGAGGCCGGCGAGCTCAATTCGGTGAGGTTTGAGGGCTCGTTCTTGGGCATGGGGCGGTTGGGGGTGAGGATGTTTGGCGAGTCGCTGGGGTGGTGCTGAGGGAGCATGGCGTCGTTGGACAACTCGAGCTTGAGGCGGGAGCCTCCCCTCCGCGGCAGGGTGCCATATCTGTTCTGGGCGACGGCAGCATCGTTGTCGGCGCCGGTCAGGTCGATCAGGTTCTCCTTACGAGCGGGCGACTGAGGCAGATACTGTTGGGATAGGGTGCGCTGGTGGGTTGGCCGTTGGACCGACAGGCCGGAGCTGCTGAGGGTTCGCTGCTGGGGCGGTCGCGGCTGGACGCCCATTGGGGTCCGGGAGGTCATCGCAGGCGGATGGACTTGAGCGACATTGCTGATGATTCGGAAGAAGTCTGTTGGTGGATTTGGGGGGGCTCAAGGCGGGATGAATGGGCGGCGGGCTGGGATGGGATTGTGTGCGGCGATGAAGGGTTGTCGTCGTGATAGGAAAAGGGAAGGGGGGATATCGGTCGATGGGTTTGGGTGATGTCGGGGATCTGACGGCGTCAGCCGCGCTATCTGTGCAGGGCCTTGGGTCTGGTAGGGAAGGCACAGGTACCGTGCCGTCCAGTGGTAAGCAGGTGCGTGCGTGCGGTGCGGCCAGAGCCCAAGGTGCGCGCGGATATTCCACGCCTGGCACGCTGTGGGTTGAGTACGGTACGGATACGGGGGTTCGGTTCGGGGAGCAGTGCGGCGTTACAGTGGGCCTCTGGTGTTAACCTAGGTGGGAGGTGACTTGGTAAGTGCCCCAGCACAGTGGGCGAGGGAAGTTCAGGCGCAGTATCTCCGAAGGTTCCCGCGCGTGCCGGGTTCGGCTTGTCAGATGACTCGCGACGGCCCGCTCGAAATCTTGTTGCGCTCAGCGTCGCGTGGCGATGGCGGAGGTGGTGATGTGAGGGGAAGAGGAGATGTCTTGATGCAAGAGAGATGGAGAGGATGTCATGGGCGAGGGTGTGTGAACGTGACGAGCAAGTTGCCGAGTGATGATGGCGGCCGGCTGAATACCAAGTCGGGCAACTAATAGAAAGAGACAAGCTGAATCATCAACCGTGAGGGAAGGAAGGTAGCTTCAGCTTTCAGTCAGCCCAGCGCAACAAAGTCCGAACCCAGGGTTTGGGTGGTGGATGGGAATGCGATTGGGATTGTGATTGGGGTTGGGAAATGTATGGCAAAGGGGGCACAGTGGCAGCAGCAGCAGCAGACAGCAGTAGACAGCGGACAGCAAGTCTCCATCGGCGTTAACCCGTGTTGGTGGTGTGTCGGGGTACGGATGCCAAAGTAAAAATCGCTAGCCGTGGGGCGCCACCGATGCGATCTGCAGTTCCAGCGGGACGACGTCGCTGTTTGGGACACGGCCTGGGGGGAAAAGATTCCGAGCTCACGGACGATTCCTCACATTACCTTACGGAGCATCCGTAGCTTTGAGTCTTTTGTTGACGGGGTTGAGTTGCGAGGCGTTGCTTACCTAGTCTGCTGGGTGTTCTCTGCATCATGTACCTTACCTCCACCTCATCACCTTCAGTCAGCAACTCGTGTTTACTGCATAGGTAGCGGTCTCTCTGTCGTTCGGCTACTGATACCGCAGAGTGTCGGTGGCAGGAACGAACTCCACGCCCTCAGTCACCTCAGACTCAGCATCCGCTAGCAGGCCGTGGTCGCGCCAAGCCCGTGTGGGCAGGGTTCCTCCTCCTGGGCCGCCGTGCCTTTACCACGGATCCCATTGGCTTCTCCGCCCAATGTCGTACAGCTGATTCGCCCGCCGCACCGCACCGCAGTCTGCCAGTGGCAGTCCCTGACTCTTGCCGGGCCCTGGCTGGCTGTCGCGAATCCACTCCACTGCCTCTCCAGTCTCCACGCCGGCCAACTTACCAAGTCTCGCTGCTCCGAACATTGCCCGGACCAAGACACCAGGTCTCGGAGCATGCAAGTCACAGTCACAGTCGAATCGAGAATCAAACACATCTTCATCGTCATCCTGTACCTACCTACCTATCCAGGTCAACTGCTGCTGCCGCCGGCCGGGAACCCAGGAACACCCCCCAAGCCCCCGGGTCCCCCCTTCAAACCCTCTCTCTCGGCAAACCGTACCGCTGGAATGGGACTGGGAAACCAGAAACCGCAGAGAGCACGCTCACGGAACCCGGAGAGGGAAAGCCGCCAACGAGAGAAAACTTACCTACCTTGCCTACCTAAACACTGCACCTACCAAAACGCCTCAAGGCCTGGCCCGCGCCCATGACTTCAAGCTTCCCCTTTCGGGACGCCATCCCTCGTCTTCTTGTCCCCAGCAGACGCCACCAGAGCCCACGGCCAACCAACCACTCGCCCCCAACACCGCATCCATCACCAGTCACCAGTCACCATCGCTGGCTGTCTCTGTTCATCTGCATCCGATTTGCCCCTGCAAACCTCCGCTGTCGTTTTGTCTTTGCCTCCTCCTGGGCGGGCAACATACGACGAGCAGCAACATAACAAGGCCCCCCCCCCCCCCAAAGACGAAAACATCTGAGCGGCGCACCGCCGTCAGGGAAACGTTAACGGCACAGCCAACAACCACACACAAACACCCGGCCTTCCTTTTCCCGCGTTTCGTCCAGAGAATCCAAAATCCCACCGGTCCCCAGCCAATGCGGACGTCGCTATATTACCCTCGGCTTATACGATCCCCATCCTAATTAGTTGTTGTCCCAAGTCTGCTTGCCCCCCCTCCACGACTGCCTACCACGAATAGCAAGTTCGGTTTCTTTTCCCCAGGTACCTACGTACGGAATCCTCTAAACTGCTGGCGCGAACGAACCAGCCATTGACAGCCCACCCGTCGGGGGGCCTGTAAACGCAAAATCGGACAAGACCAGACCAGACCAGGCACCGGGCCGCCATGGGATGGGGTGGTGCGCCGCCGTCTGTCTATGTGTGTATCGTGCTAAGTCGGTGCTTGGGGGCCCTGTCTCGATATGGCCGAATCGTCGCCAGGTGTCACGCAATCTGCCATCGTACTGCATGCGATCCGCCGCCAATGAGGTACCTCTCCCACGACGCCTGCCGAGCCGGTCCAGTGCCAAACAAACCACTGATGCACTCAACGATTGCGCATCGGGAATCCCTTCAGCTGACACCCGCCGTGTGACCCCATCACCACATCGCACTTGGCAGCGTGCCTGGACTCACTGTCCAACATGTCGTGGAAGCCGGTGCAAGGTTCACTAAAGGCGAGACGGTGCCAGCTGGACTGCCTCTCTTCGGGCTCTTCGTCCCACCACGGCCATGTCCATGTGGCATGCCGCGCTGCCCGACCGGGACAATGTCTCGCTCGCTACCTGATTTAGCCAGCGGGTAATTGGCCCAAAAACACATGAGTGAAGTGGCGGCATAACCGTCCAAAACCACAACAAGTGGTCGACGTTGACGATGATGATGCCCAAGACAGTGACAGACAGCTCGGCAGTCCAGCTGGCCCACTCGTCGTGTCGCTGCAACCAGAACCTGTCCCGGTACGCGCACCATACAACGCAAACACACCGCATCTCTGGCCGACGCACCTCGACGGGAACACCTTCCATCCGGCTGAAGGGACCTGCAGGGCCCGTGTGGGGGCGGACTGGAAGCAAGCACCTCAAGCAAAGCAAATGCTCCTGTAGGTCGGCCGCGGCGTGCCTGCAGCAGCAGCAAGGCGGCCTACGTGCCTATCTTTCCCTGGGCATGCAAGTCTGCCTGCCTGCCTTCGCCAACCTGCAGAAGGGTGGCCCGCAGATGACGAGACTTTCCGCCCAAGATAACAAGACCATCGTAAGAGCTGGGCATGCAGGCCACTCAAACGACACCAAGCCCCCGAGAGAAAACCTCCGGTGGGCAATCTCGGGGAATGCGGAGGAGACGGCCGCTGACCAACAACTACATGTTTTTGCTGATTTTGTGTTTTTGGCCTGCAATATGTAATCAACGCTCTCGAAACCCAGCTTTCCGAAAGGTGCAAGTTCTGCCGTATCCATAAGAAACTCCATAGCCCGTGCCCCTCCGCAGGCCGCATCTCCCGAAGCAAAAGGCCCCGCAAAACCGGCCCCCAAGATTTCTGACGCTGTTGAAGCTCGCGAAGCCGGACTCGCACCGCTCCATCTTCACAGCCGCAATTTATCCAACTCTCGCACCGCGGCAAAAAGCAACGAACGAGAACAACCGCATCCTCGTGAAAACCCCCCTCGCAAAGCCAACCGGGATATGCCCGGCCCGTAGCACAGCTCAGACGGTGCTCCCCGTCCGGTCTCAGGCCAAGACGACACCGGAATCTCAGAGTGGCGACCCTTCGTTATCGGAACCTCACCCGCGCAAAGTATCGTAATCATGGCCGTGAAGGATGCGTAAACTTGTCAGATCGGGTTGAGCAGCGCGGCGTTCGGAGGCCCCGCCCGACGGCTCGCGCGGCCGATTGCAGCTGCGGCGACCACGCCGGGGGTGTGGTTGTATCCGGGAACGTGGTCGGCTGAGAGGGGGAGGCCAGCCGGCCGCCGGATTTGCTTCCCCAGCTTGGGAGGGTAGATGCCTAACCTTTTAGGCGCGAGGTTTGATGTGATTGCGCCTGGGGAGCTGGGGAAAGCTTCACCTCGCAAGGTAGCAGCACGTGAACATCGCGACGACGTGCAGCAATCTTTCTCAACCAATTTGCTCGTCTCGTAACCCCAACTTTCCGCACCGAATCCGCAACAATGGCGAGCAAGAGGGATATGCGCCGGCCGGACCTGAGTAAGCACTTTCCGCACGGCTCAATTGTCAGATATCGCGATGGCTGACCTGTGATCGTTCGTGCTACAGTCGTCCCCTACCAGGAGCCCCGAGCCAAGGGCGAGAACGCCGAGTTCTCCTCGACGCTGTCGTCCACGCTGCCCATGGCCGCGATGCTCACGCGCAACAAGTTCATCGGATGGTACGCGAAAAAATACCTTTGATTTCCTCGCCGGCCCCTGTGCGATACGTGGCAGGTCGGGATGTCTGGACAAGTTGCTGACACGATACGAAAACGCAGGGCCTCCGTCGTCTTTTCCGTGCAGACCTGGCTCGGCGAGAGCGAGGAGACGAAGAAGAGCTCCGCGACGCCGGGATATTTCTCCGTCGGCATGTCAGGTACGTTCCCCTCCTGAAGCTGAGGCCTCCGGATGGCAGATAGCTAACGGGCGCGCGACAGTTATGGCCCTGGCCGTCACCTATCTCCCCATGTTCCTCCCCCCGCCCGTCCAGCGCGGCGCCGCCACCGGTACTGGGCCCGCTGCCCCCGTGCCCCCTGCGTAGACGACGGGTTGTGTATGATTATCACTCCGGACGGGTAATACGAGATTCAGACGGATGAGGCTTTTATGGCGGTACGACATCATGGGAGGGCCAGTTGCAAGAACAAAATACAGCAGGTGGGCGGATGACGAGATGCCGGGGGAGTTGGGCGGACGATTTGTAGCATAATACCTCACCGGGCCCACGCACCGCGTGGCGTCGTTCTTTTGGTACAGAATATCTTAATAGCAGCAAGCAAGCATTGAACGCACATGATTCTGTTCAAAGGATTTCCCGATTGTGCATGTGACAATGCTCGCAGTGGCATGTTTTTGGGTGGTCTCAAGGGAGGATGTGTCGTATGTCGTCATACCCTTCGCCGTCAGATAACAGGGCGCAGCCTTGCCTCAGCTGCGACGTTGCAGGTTCAACCACCAGATCTGCGCAGCACAACAATCCCTTTTGAAATCTGCGAGGAAACAGATCCGGGAAAGATGGGATCCCAGGTCATAGACGAGGCTTCCGTCCTCGCGCAATTCGACGCCCTCGTGCGCAAGGGGACAGTCCTCTACAGCGACAACCTCAAAAAGATTCACCACCAAGATGGCGGGTCCGAGGTAATCCCCCCACCTCACCACATCTCCCGCACACCCATCTAACAAACACAGTTCGAGTTCCGCCTGACCTCAGCCCTGAAAACCAAGCCCGCAGCCGTCTTCGACAACTCGGAGCTCGACGCCGCTACCACACCGCCAAAGTCCCCCTCACCCTCACCCGCAGCCGGCACCGACGCCATGGAGCTCGACGCCGAGGGCCAGATCCCCGGCGGCGACATCTCCGTCGCGGGCTTCGTCATCTCCCCCGTCAACAACACGCACGTGCTCATGTTCAACAAATTCTGCGCGTACAGGCCGCACCTGATCCTCCTCACGGCAAACGGCTACCGGCGGCAGTTCGAGCCGTTGGGGAGGGAGGATTTAGAAGCTGCGAGGGATGTTCTCCGCGGGCTGAATTCGAAGGGGGGAAGTGAGTACCTTGTGATTTTCAACTGCGGCAAGGACGGCGGGTGTTCAAGGCTGCATAAGCACATGCAGGTCATACCCGCCCCGTCGGATTTCCGGCTATGGCCTGATGAGGAGGCGTTGGAGGCCGCGGTACCGTATGAGTACCTCCTCAAGCGGTTCGAGAACGGGGTTCCCGGGGGGGAGGAGGTAGCTGGGATGTATGGCGAGATGCTCCGTGCCGCGACGGCGCTGGTGCCTGGGCGGGAGGAGGTTGTCGAGGAGGACGGGGTTGCGGTGCCGCATAATGTGGTCCTGAGCGAGCGGTGGATGGTGGTTGTGCCGCGGACGAAGATGGATGTGGACGGGGGCGGGGTGAATGCGGCGGGGATGCTGGGAATGGTGTGGGCTTCGGGGGAGGAGACGTATGAGCGGTGGATGGGGCTGGGGCCAAGGGAGGTGTTGGCGGAGGTTGGCGTGAGGAAGAGGTAGAGTGTGGAATGATGATAGAAGGCAGAACTCGTACAAGAAGGGATGATGTACAGGATGTAAGCGATAGTAGAGCAAGTAGACGATAGTATGGTTTGGATTAGTTTCTTAGCAGCGAAGATATATGTGCCATTATAGAATTGCTTCTTCTATCTCTAATACTCCTCATCGGCATCTTGACTGGCTTATGCGCCGCCGTTGCCGTAGGTAGCAAGAGACTACTCTCACGATACCCCCCTTCTGAAAGAAACCCCAACCCTCACCCTCTACAACTTCCCCTTCCTCCCCTTCTTCTCCAGCACAACATACCCCGCCTCCGCCCTCGCCAGCACCGCCCCCTCCTCATCCACCATCTCCATCTCAACCACAAACGTCCTCCCCTCAACACCCACCAACCTCGCCACAACACCAACTACCGCCCCAACCGGCACCGCCCTCCGATACTCGAGCTCCAACGTCCGCGTCACATGCGGCAGCATCTCCATCCTCCCATACATCTTATTCACGAACCCCACCGCGCCAGCGCACTCGTCGAAGATGGAGGCCACGACGCCGCCGTGTACGCGCTCGCGCTCGAGGGTGCTTAGCATGTGCGCGAGTTTGAGGGAAAAGCGGACGTGGGCGATGTAGCGGTCTCCCAAGGCGGAATCGGGGGCAGGAGGGGATGTGGAAGGAGGGTGGAAGCAGCCGATGAAGTAGGGGATGGTGGCTTTGCTGTGCAGGGTGACGCCCCAGAACTCGGAGGCGCGGAGGGAGGGGTCGAAGTGCCGGGTGATGGGCGGCATGGAGATCAGGCCTGGCTCGCGGAGGGTTACGGAAACCCAGGGGATGGTGTTGAAGTAGGCGATTTGGTCGGCGTAGGCTGGGTCGGACATTGTGGCGAGGATGGTATGTGGTTGATGCGGTAGATGGTTCTGGAGAGGGGAGAGTAAGTTCGTCTTATGTTTTGTATGAAATTAGAGATGAGTTATCTGGTAAAGAGACGGCCGAGTTGGCGAGGGACATACTCCCGGGTCTGCCGTGTTCAAGTATCTACGGCGGAGGTAGCCCGGCGACCCGCCAGTTGGCCGTCGGGTTCGCGGAGTACGGCAAAAGCCCTATCGATGGATCACGGCAATTGAGGAATGGCATGACGTGGAGAATCGCGATATCAGAGTTTATTCTTGGCAAGAACTTTGATATATCATGTTCGGGGGTGTTCGGTAATCTGGCGGTTTGAGTAAGGTTGTGTAAGTTGGGATGGCATGACTGGAGATGCGAATTCGACAACCTGTGATGATAAAATATTAGAGGAAAACAGCTCGTCTTTGTTATCACGAGTTACCTGGCGTTGTGATTTGTATTTCATTGAATGATATTTGCCACCTGCTGGCTACCATCAGTCAGTAAGGTATCACACTGCATTGCAATTGTATTTTTCTTTTGTTTTTATTGTCATACATCTAGTCGGTATAGTTGGACTCGTCGCTGTTGCTAGGCTCTCGTGATATCTGTCGTCTCTATCGTCCTCATCGTCTGTTTTGTCGCCTCTTGTCGTCCTAGCAATGCATTGACTACGGTTTTTGCCATCACTTCCTCTATTCAATCGAATAGCAGTACCTCCATGGATAGCAGCATTGAGCGAGGTTGTTTTCAACATCAGGGGCAGTACGTCACCACCGTTATCAATCTCTTCTCAATGGCGATGGAGTTGTTATAGACTGAAAGTTTTAAAGCTTCACGAAAGCATCTGCATCCCTCCAAAACTTCTCTGGGGCCTCGATCCAAGGGAAATGCCCAGCTCCCGCAAGAACCTTGATCTCGGAGCCTTCGATACCACCAGCAACAGCCTGTGCTCCCTCTTCGCTACAAACCGAATCCTCTTCCCCTTGAAGAATCAATGTCTCAGCCTTGACCAATCCCGCATCCCTGATATGAGGTAGCGCATTCTCCTCAGACATATCATTACGGTTCGTCTGCCACGCTGACGCAGTCGCGGAATTCTTGCTCGCCAAAGGCCCAGCCATATTCCGTCTCAGAAGGTCAGCGTTCTTCACATCAGCGAACCACCAGACCAACATCGTGTCGAGAGACTCTCTGAAGTGCTCATCGTCCCTGGGTCCACCGGCCTTCGCGATTTCAATCAGCTTCTTCACGGAAGGAGCATACGCCTCATCGTCCTTGCGCTTCTCCATCCAGGCTCTAACATGTCCAGGAGCGCAATCCATCACCTGCGGCGCGATGAGAAGTAGTTTGGAGACGTTGTCCGGGTACCGCTGGGCATAGCGCAGAGCGATGGCGCCGCCGTGCGAGTGGCCGATGAGAAGCGGGAACGCTGTGAGACCGAGGTAAGAGCGGAGGTGTTCCAGGTCCTCGACCATGGTCCTCGCGTTCATCGTGAATGGATCTGCTTTGCCGGAGTCGCCATTGCCGCGGGGCTCAAAGTACAACACCGTGCGGTTGGTTTCGAGGCGCGGGCCGAGGCCGTTCCAGAAGTAGGATGCTGAGAGACCCCAGCCGACAGACTGGATGACTGCTAGGGGGCCGGCTCCGCGGATGAGGTAATTGAGACGGACGCCGGATGTTTGGAAGAAATGCTGGCCGAGGGAGAGTGGGAGTGACATTTTGAGGACAAAGTTTCTCGCGTATGAATCGTGAAATCTCGTCTTGGAATGATCGGAAATAGTGTGACTTTGTAGCTTCTTTGATCTTGACGAAAAATGGAAAGGGGGAAGCATCCGTAAGCAAAGCTCAAGAGGGTTAGACACATTAACCGAACTAAAATCTGACATCAATTTTGACAAAAGTTGCTCACGATGATGATCATCTTCGAAAAGGCGTGTATGATCAGATGTATACACAAATGTCTCAGTTCCTAGTTACTAACCCATCTTCAGCTGTTGCCATTGTCCATGATGCCTGCCATCCTACTTGAAAAACTCATCGAGCTCTTTTCCCCACGAATCCAGCTTGTTCATGACTTGCTTCTCTGTGAGCCAATTACCGTCATCCCCCTTTATCCGAATATCGCGTCTCTGAGCGCCGATGAGCAGTTTCATGGTCTTGAAGCGCTGATACCCGCGATTTGCCCCCTTTCGACGATCTCTCGATACCAGACAAGAATGGTATGACTCATTGTAAATTTCGTCGGTGATGGGAATAGAGAAGTCCGACCCAATGGTTCTCAGAAACGCGACCGTGTAGCTCAGGTCCCATGAAATAACCTTCCTTATCATAGGCTCCGTGATCGTTAGCGCATCCTTGCTCAATCTCATAGCATGGGCTATGTTTTCGTAAAAGCTGAATTTCTGTTCTGTTTGAAACCAAGCTTCAAGACAGGTTTGGGTGATGTTGAATCCATCTTGACTTGCCAACACATCCAAGGTGGCCTTGCCTAGCCTGGAATTGTTCATGGCGCTCATAATCAAGTCAGGCGTGACTTGTTCGCCGTCCCTCAACTCGAAAAGAAGCTGAACCATCTCTATACTGGAAGAGATGTTCTCGGCAGCCGCGCGAAAAGCCTTTTGAGGAATGTTGAGGCTCGGACGCTTTTCGAAAAAAAGCTTCATGATAGCCACCCCATTATTTGCATTGCCAGCCGCCACAACCAATGCCTTGTCGGTCACATTAACTTCCGGGCTTCTCTCGAATAAGAGTTGCAGTATTTCCGAGCCATCAGTCCACCTGAGGGACGCTGCTTCCACTATTTCCTCCGTTACACGAAGATCGGCATGCCTATCGAAAAGAATCTCCAAAACCTTTGGGCTACAGGATTCGTTCTTGACAGCCAGAGTGATTGTATTGTCCGACGGTTTCAGATCTGGGCGTCCGTGCAAAAGTGACCCTAGTGCGTCGCCGCCAGTGGAGGAATTATTAACTGCCAACTCAAACAGCATTTCTGACACTTCCAAGTCTGGAAATCTCTGCGAAATCAGTTCTAGTAAACTCCTACTAAGGTGATATCTCGATGCAGATTCTAAAGTCTCTTTCCTGATTAAGGGCACAGGAGTGCACGAAAGGAGGAATTCGACGACCTCAAAATGTGCATTCCGGATCGCACACTCGATGGGTGAACCCATGTTTATGGGATCGTAATCGATGTCGGCTTTGTTTCGAATAAGTGCTTTGACAATGTTCAACTTTCCGCTCCATGCCGCAGCTTGCAGAGGGCTGACTTTGTTGTCTCTTGCCTGGACAGAGTCATGAAGGTCAGTGTGTTCAGTATTCTCAACTAGGCGCCCGAACCCAAACAATGCAGCAAGGCTTGGAGAGTCAAAGTCCTTCAGTTGCACCCGTCTGACCGTCGTCAATTGTTTAAAAACTTCGTTGTACCGCAACCATCTGGCAGTACCAGGTTGCGTGGTATCGCAGAGAAGTCGGAGTCGATCGTCATATTTTGCCTTTTCGTCATCATTTTGCAGCTCATAGTGTATAGGCCAGTTTTGCGCCGCATAGTGCCCAAATTCGTGGTTCCGGTCTTCCTCGTAGGGTAAGGGCAAAAGGTACAAAAAGCGTAGTGACTCCAGACAAGTAGAGAGCATCTTTATCTGGGTCTCAGTGCCACTGAACCGCCCCTTCCAACAGTTGGTTGTAGGCTTCGGGCCAAGTAAAAACTCTCTGACCGTTTGATGTAAGAACGACAGCTTTTCTTCGTTTTTGTCAACCCCGGTCACTACCACCAGAAACCCGGTGCAGTTCTGTACCACACTTTGAAAGTCTTTGCCCCAGTAGTCGTTGGCAATATCCCCTCTGCATTTCCATTGATGTGACCGAGTGGAAAGAACCAAAGTCAGGGCTTCGTTGGCCGCCTTCAATGTGAGCGGCTCTGAGGCCGCTAACATGAGCTGTAAGAGTAATTTGGTTTTAGGGTTATCGTAAAAAGGGCGAAGAATTTTCTCATAGACCTCTGAAACTTCGGAAGGTAGACTTTCCAGAAGATCAAGAATGTCTGATGTCTTTCTGTAGTTCATGCGGTCTTCTTTGATAATCTGAAAAAATAGACGAAGCCAAAGATAGGTACGGTTTTCCATGTCCTTCATACGTTTTCCAAGGAGCATCTGATCGTTCTCAGGGAGATGTCCTGCAATGGTTGGAAGATTCTGATCAATAACTAGCTCTATTTCCCCCCTAATTCGGCGCAGTCTTTGATCTCCATTGACGTGTGAGCTCTGGGAGGGATGCGTCGGCATGAAAAGGTCTTGCAGAGAGAATTCTATGTCATTCCAAGTACGGCTCGTAATGATAAACTTCAACGTCGAGGTTAATGGTGAATTTTGTTGATGTTTGTTATAAAATTTGCTGATCTCGCTGGTGAGTCGCTCTCTTTCCGATCTCTCGCATTCGTCCAGGGCATCCAGGACGCATATTATTTCCCCTGCATCCGGCGAGTTCATGCAACCTATGAGAATGTCCCAGAGCTCGTCAAAAGAATCTCTCAGGCCTGCACCCGCGCGATGGTATGGAGTTTTCGCCTTCTTGATGAGTCTCCCGGTCAAATCTTGGGCAAAAAGCTGATGAAGAATGGCCGCAACCGCATCACATGCCCTTTTTCGCCTCTCGTCGCCATCTTTGAAGAAGAAATAACAGACCGATGAAGTTGTAGCCCTGGCTGGAGACTGTAGGAGTTTTTCATCGATGAGCGACCTCGATAAAACTGACTTCCCGTAACCGGGACCAGCTGATATCCACAGGAGACTCGAGAATGCGTTGTCACGCCATCGATGGAATTTCGGATCTTCCAAGACCCACTCGCAAGTTCCTTGGACTCGCTCAGGGTTGGCGTTTTTGTGTCCTTTGAAATCTGCGTGAAGATGTCCCAGCAACTTCCCCTCCAGTTGGTTTTCATATTGAAATTGTATTTCCTCCAAGCTCCTGGAAATGTCTTCAAGAGCTAATCGAGAGTTGTGGATTTCGACCAGCTGCGCCGCCATACCATCTTGGGATGTTTTACGCTGAGCGGCTTCGAGATAGGTCTGACAATTCTGGTTTAACTCGTTCATGCTTTTGGTCTCGGCCTTCCAACCGTTCCACCCCAAAAGATTTTCCCGCGCTCGGGAAGTCTGAGTGGATGACAAATGGCAAACTGCATGAGCGTAGTATCTGATAATTTGACGGTGCAAGTCAATGAAGACGTCGTAAAAGCTTCCTCTTGCGCGGCTCCTGAATGGATAAACAGAGCTCTCTGAAATTTTCCAGAACACCAACATGCGGTTGATCTCTTCGAGGCCATTTATCATTGCCTCGTGCAGCTCGGTTCCCGCATTCACAAGCTGACCACATTAGCATGTGTATTTAGATTACAGACTCAGACACTGTATATCTTACAGGTAGAAGGATGGAAACCGCTGACCATGCTAACGCGGCGTACGGCTGGGTGCTGAGTGCAGGCTTCACCACGGCGTCTGTCCAGAGCAGGAATTTCACCATTTTTTCGACTTGCGAGCGGACGTGAATACTCTTCCCGGCAAACGCAACTTTCCACTGCTTCTCGTCTCGCCTTTTTTCAAGATTTTTAACGGTTGACTCGACAAAGTTGACACCGAATTCAGCGGTATCCTCCTCATGTGCAGGATTGATAACCTTAGCGTAAGCTTTGGCTAAATCACCATCGCTCTCCTGGAACTTTCGAAAAGCTGCAGCCCACACATCGTCAGGCGTTTCAGGCTCTTTTTGTTGTATGTCCAGTGCCTCAATCTGCTTCGTTGGTGTTCGGTCGGGTGTGTTCGCTCGAGGTGGCGAAAGCGCTGTGGGTGCGAGCTCAGAGGTAGAGGAGACCGACTTGCTATCGTCCGCTTGCGAAGCCTCCAGTCGTCGGTCTTTGGACCCGAATAGACGGAGAAAGGTATCTCTTTTGCGCTCTCGCGCCATGGCGATGTTGAGATCCTGCTGCAATGCACTTGATCCCCTGGGAACTGCCGAATGCCGCAAGGGCTTAGGAAACGCTCTTCTACCGAAGTGATGTGATGAACGTAGAATTCATGACCAGGCTGGCAATGGACATGCAGTAAACCCCGCATATCACGTGTGTATGCCACACAGAGCTGCATCTGTATTCCGAGATCCACTGCTGGACCGCGATAATCTTATGCGGCGCAGCACTTCCTCGCTCATTGGCGATTTACTGCCGGCCAATAGTCTTCGCCGCTAAGCGCATGCATTACCCCCTAGAGTCTTAGAATTGCCAACCAAGTAAGGCCCAATCATGATCTAAATCTAAGTCAGGATATCTGGCAAGGCAGTACGCCTGCCACCAGGTTCGAGTCGGCGTTCAGAGTCGGTAGGTGTGACTTCTAAGAAAGCAGGTTGTCCCGAAAGCCGGTAAAATACGCCTGATAGCATCCTCCTGAATTCACTGATTCTTGATCTCAAAAGGGGAAGGATATCCGCCCGGCGACTGCTAATCCCTGCTGGCGGGTTGGCAAATGGTGGATGCAACAAGACGTGCGCGACCCCCAGGCGGCACGGGTCGCCAGAGCACGAGGCGGCTATCTCTACAGTACAGAATACAAAAGGCCTCCAATCACCTTGGTTGTTGGGGATCATGCGATGAACTCCGCCCCAGTAACAGCTTTCGTCTGCCCGACATGTCCAGCTCGTATCAGCCCCGTGATAAGCCTGTTGATATCCGCAACGCTTCTATGGAAGAACTACAAGATGGCGCCGATCGCATCGATAACTTTCTGGCTACCATGAAACCAGGCCACCCGGACCGGGCAGCCATATTGAACGACAAGTGCACGGTTTACTATGTGAAGTGGACGAAGTCCGGAGTCCCAGAAGACGTCGTCAAGGCTGTTCAAGCAGGTCAGGCAGCTGTCGAGGCGCTTACGCCAAACGATACTAGCAAGGGACCAGTCTTCAACAATTTGGCCGCCTCACTCAAAGGTCTATTCCGATACTCGGGCAAGGCTGAGGATCTCGAAGATGCAATCAAGTACGGCAAACTTGTCTTAAAATGCTTCGCTCATGGTACCCACCAGTGGAGGGCGGCAAATGCAAACCTTTGCGATATGATTTGTGATAAGGGCTGTTTTTATCGCACCAAAGAGTCTCTTGACGAAGCCTTCGAGTTTCTAGGACAAGCAGGCGCACCTGGCATCTTACGGACCTTTTATGAGTCCTCGCGACTTTCGTATCTCTCGGCTGTCCTAGTGTCCCGGTTTGAGGCAACTGGATCCGTCCAAGACCTCGAGAAAGGCATGGAAGCGGGTTACAAGTCATTGAAACGCTCCAGGACGGAGCCATACGTGACCACTATTACATGGGCACGTCAGCGGCTTTGATTACGCATTTTCATGTGACTGCTCATTTGAACAGTCTGGAAGAAACAGTTCGACTTTCGGAGCTCTTTTTGGTTCAGATGAGCGATGCGCGATATGTGTAGCGACGCGATGCGTGCCTTTGGTCTCTGCTCTCATGGCCCAATCCTCGAGCTGAAAAGCACGAGATGCCAAGAACCAAATCCGCAATTTTCTATGGAAACCCTACAGGAGGCAATGAAATTTGGCCGGGGAGCTCTTTCAATCGTTACGCCTCACGCAGAAAGCGTACCGATGCTAATAAGCACTGTTTCTTCGTGGACGGGGACCATGGCTAAGTTGACGCAAGATGTTAAGTGGACAGAGGAGGGAATCGAACTCCTCGACCGCGCACTTGAACTGAAAAAATGCTATTCAATCGATAATTCTGACCTGTTTGGAGGCCTCTCGCGTCTTTGGCAGATTCAGTACGGTGTCCTCTGCGGGAGCACGTCAGATGGAAAACACAACGACATTCTCCAAAGGGCGATAGAAACCGGGCAGAAAGCTATATCGAACACCAAAACCGACAGCAGGATAATTGGAGGGAGACGAAAGAATCTTGCGTTGATGTTGTACACTAAATACCTTGTCTTTCAAGACCCCAAGCCCCCAAAAATCAAGGAATTGTTCATTGAGGCGGCCAGGACAGAAACGGCGACACTTCTGGTCAGTATCCCTTCGGCACTCCGGGCCGATCTCATTCACTGGGAATATGGAGAGCTGACACAGACCAACGACATCTTCCAAAATGTTATTGGGCTGTTGACTGAAAGCAACATCCAAGCGGCATCTGCAGAAGACTTACAGCAGACACTTCGTGAAATAACGAACCTCGGAAGCTTTGCAGCATCTGCTTCATTGGCCGTGGGACGCCCTCCCATTGAAGCAATCAAATCTTTAGAAGCTGCGAACTGAATTCTGGCGGGGCTTGCGATGAATTCAAGGAGCGATGTTTCAGCACTCGAGAGAAGATACCCCGAGTGCGCCAATGCCTATATTGACCTCAGGACCCGAGTTGCACATGCAAGTAGGCAGTCCCAAAGCGCTGCCAACTACCGAAAAGACACGGCCCTTCAGCAATCTCTGATCCGGGAAATGGCGTCCAAGGAAGAAGAGATCAGACATTTGGAAGGGTTTGAGCAGTTCCAGTTGCCCCTTAGCGCTACTCAGATGATGCAACTTGCGACAGATGGTCCCATTGCAACGATCAACGTCTCCGAACTCCGCAGCGACACCATAATTGTTACAGAAACAGGGATACAATCTCTGCACCTGCCAGGCTTGACGCCTGCCGCTCTTCAGAGCCATGCCTCAGTTTTCAACAACCGTGGGAACCCAGCCAGAAGGAACATCCGAAGACCGCCGATCTCCCCAAACGTTCTCACTGCGGCCGGTATTCATTGGTTATGGGAAGTGGCGGTACGTCCAATTCTGGACGGCACTGAACTCACATCGTCGGGGCGTTTGTGGTGGATCACTAGTGGTTTGGCGGGAAGGGTGCCGTTCCATGCGGCAGGCAACTATGCCGGCGACCCCGAATAAAATGCGCCCAGTCGGGTAACCTCGTATTATATCTCATCATTCAAGACCCTCAAATATGGTCGAAACAAGGGTGCCGCAGCTTTTTCTAGTCAGAATATGCTTCTAGTCACGATGTCCACCAAATTACCGCCGCATCGCCATCTGAACACCACCTACGAGGAAGAGGCTATTGGAGCAACTTTTGGAGCAGACAAGTTGCTTCACCTAGCCCAACCTGACCCTGAAAGTATTCTCAAAAAGATACCGGAGTTTTCGTTTGTGCACTTCGCCTGTCATGGTGCCTCGATCAATAACAACCCGAACAGGAGCGGGCTTGTACTGGTTAAGGACGGAAAGCCTGCAGATCTGACGATTGCCAATCTTGAGGAGATTGAGCTTAAAGAGAGTTCCGCAGCTTATCTTTCAGCATGCTCTACAGCCCAGCAAGCAGATAGCAAGCTTGCCGGGGAAGCCATACCTCTGGCTAACTCTTTCCAGGCATTGGGCTTCCGGCACGTCATAGGGACTATGTGGGGAGCAGACGACACTGCAGCCGGGGAGGTAGCGAGGAGGTTCTACAAGAAACTCATGTCACCCACTGAAAATAGCATGGGCGATGGGCAGCTAAATGCTGCGACTGCGCTGCACGAAGCTGTCAAGGAGTATAGAACTGCGTGCTTAAGTGGGGTCCTTTCATTCATGTTGGTATCTAGGAAAGCATGGTCTGTATGTGTATACAACGAATCGTCGTATAGTTGATGGTAGAACCGTTGTTCATGAACGCTTGACTCAATACTCCAATCAATATCTACCCTTTCCATGCTTGATAATGGTCCCTAAGAGTAGTCTCCAGAGGTCGATACTCAATTCCGAGTTCCTCGATACTCCGGCTGTTATCCACGGCGAACTTAGTCCCCAAGTTTCTTGATATCCACTTCCTCGTTAACCCAAATAAAGGTCCTATAACCCGAACTAGAAAGTCAGGCAGAAAGTGGTCTGGAATGAGCATTGATTTACTCAGCCTCCGGAACAGCTTTGACATCTCCAAGAAATTGGCCATGTCTCGTGACGCCACGATATATCGACCGCTTGCTGTGGGTGTTGATGCAACTTTGATATGTGCCGTGACAACCTCACGCACGTCGACTGTCGCAAAATTGAGGTTAGGTACGCCGAAGAACAACTTGCCACTGAGAAGCTCGTCGATCAGAAACAAGCTGCCTGAGTCCGATCCGGCAGACAACGGTGGTCCAAGGACTAGTCCTGGGCAAACCACGACAAGATCCCATCGGTTCTCTTCTTTGGCAATTTCCCAGGCTTCCTTTTCTGCGAGTACTTTGGAGTAGTGGTATGGGTTGTGCGTTACGGTGCTGGTCTCGTTGAAGTACTTTTCGGATAATGTGCCTCCCATCTTGTCGTTGACATCCTCGTAGTCCCCAAATATGGCCCCGACTGCAAACACAATTTCGAAGTCAGCAGCCTGTTCTTACCGAAACGACGTTGCTTTCGTCGTAGAAAAGTGGAACGCGCGGACATACTTGTAGATGTTAGAACAACACGTTTTACTGACGTTGTCTCTTTGACGCTTGCGAGTACACTTCGGGTACCTTCCAACGCCGGTTCGACACATTCCTTCTGCCCGTCCTTGATCATCTCCGCCATCATAAATGGTGATGCAACATGATGGACCACCGAGCACCCCTGCATCGCCTCCTTGAAAGATCCAGGCTTGAGGAGGTCGGCCTCGAAAAGCTGCAATCGCCCTGCATGCTTTTCTTGAAGACCCTTGAGAGAGGCCACCTTTTTGGCATTTCGGAGGCTTCGTACTGTCGCGTTTACGCGGATACCCTGCGATAAAAGTTCGTTAACGAGATGTTGTGCGATGAAGCCGCTGCCGCCGGTGACAAGGTGCGTTTCGGCAACTTCCATGCTGTATCAAAGAAGACAACAAAATAGCACTTTATTTCTTGGTGGCTGGCCTTTGCGTAATGGTAAACTTTGGATGAATTCTCACATCATCCCTTTTTGCACAGAATAGCCTTGTCTTTTGTTTGTCGGACGAGCGAAGTGTCTTTGTTCTGGTTGAGAACCACTAATTCCTCGGCGCCCGCGGATAGCCGATCCCAGGGCGTTGCCATCACAGGGAGGCATTCTTTGGTGGAACTGATCGCCTCTTTCGCATAATACGATATGCTCGGGTTGCTCTGTAAGATCCGCGGGTTGACGCCGCGATTACGAATAGAACTGAAATTGTCACGTTGCGTTTTTACTTGTGCGTGTCATCGCATCAGTCATCGCGTCTCGCTGAATGATGCGGTTGTCTCCGGCATTCAGACACACATCTGCTTTCTCGAGGACTGTGGGAGGATTGTACTACCTCGCCGCGGAACACCGAACGTCATTTCAGATGGCAGTAAGTCGGCAATTCGTTGAGAGGTTTGAGGGGCCGAGTACCCGAACCCCTGACCGCGTACTACATCGGCCGAGAGAACTTTTCAAGCGCAGCCATTTTCATGTATAAATCAAGAGTATTTACCGTTAGAAGTTTCCGCCATCCCAAATTACCATCAAAGGCCATCTTGTGGCATCGATCAGTCGTCAAACCAAGATGACCGGGCTCCATTGTGGATTCGCACTCGTCCAAGTCTCGGGGCTAACTCTCCCAAGAGCCAGCCTTGAGTACAATGGACCTTGTCGGGATCCCACCATGACAACGATCGCCCAGGGCTCGAAAGGTTGAAAGTATGGATACTTCACTAAGAAAAACACATTTTCTCTGTCAGCACTTTTGAACATGTGGCCAGCAGCAAGAGCGAAAACAGGGTATGTTTCCTCAACGAACTGCCTCTGAGCCAATTCCCTGTCCATCAATGCAGTTTCTCCGACGAGTAAGCCCTCTTCGGTGTATAGACCCATTCGAATGGCTGAAGTCTCTTGACTCTCTACATCGTCCTCGGGCAGGACCCTGAGTCTCAGTAGAGCCACAGTAGTGTTGAAGACCAGACAATGAGGATGCTCTTCAGCCATTCTCCGGGTGCTGTCATCAACATCAATGTGTTCGAGAGCATTCAAAGGGCCATGTACGCAATTGTTCCAGACACCGATCGGATCCTTTCCAGGTCTGCTTTTGCTGATGGTGTTGCCAAGTATTTGCCGTGAGACATTGGCCTGCTTCCCCATCTCAAGTGGCTTTGAGTTGAACCAGATTCGGTCTTCTTCCAGCGGCCGCAAGCGCGCAACCCCGTTGAGTTGGTCGCAATAGAACAGCGAAACCAGACTGCCGAAATGAAACCGACTGAGGGGACGCAAAAACCTCAATGGGTGATCATTGAATAGGACTTGGCCTGCCCACGCCGCACATGTCCAGGTGGGCAATCCGGGGGGCTCGACCGCTAAGCCTTGCGTGCCTTCGTAGCCCCAGAGAATGGCCTGCAACATGAAACGTTCAGGGATCCCGAAGAGAATGAGAGTGTTGCTCAAGAAACCGAAAACCTTCAGCACTCCTTCAAAAGCGTTCAGGATGTCGCTCCTGTAAGTCATCGCTCGGCGAGTATAGGTCTCAGTCAGCCACCCATACATTTCGGCGAAACTTCCGTAGTAGAATTCGCTCTGGCGAAGACTAGTCTCAAATCCCTGGCCGTGCGATTGTCGACTCACTCGTTGCAGGGCGCTAGGATTGGTCTCCTTTGCACCAAGTCTTAAATTGTCGTGGAAGCAACTGAAGAATACGTCTGAGTCGCCGAAAAAGAAATGCCGGCGACTGAGCAACCTTTCTTGATATGTCCATGCTCTAGTGTTCCATTCAGACTTTTCAACAACCTCAGTTATGGTGATCATGCTAGCTCCGATGCAGTGTCCGTCGATACTCAAATGCCAGCATCGGTTACCAAGGGTTCCCTGTCGTGGCCTGTCAACGAGACCAGGCAACCCAGTACCAACACCATCAGCGCAGGCAATGATAGTAGCAAAGGCCTGTTGATATATTGTGTCCATGCTCTGTATCTGCGAGATTTTGAGATCGTCATCATCCTGGACAATGCACAGTCGATCTACCCATAGGTACCGGCGGCCCATGTTTCTACACAAAAGCATCGCGTCGCTGATTACCTCGGGTATCAGTGATTCCTTCAAAGATTGAGGTCTTTCAAGCTCATCCATGTTTTTCTTTGTCAACTGGAAATCTGCCTCTGGGTAGGCCGTCGCGGTTCGCCATTGATAACTCAGGGCCATGTATTCCATCCCCTCCTGAGCCCGAGTGACACATCGAAGAGCGGCATCGATGAGTCGGAAGCCACTCGGAACCGGTGTTTGAGATATTGGAACATTGCATTTGTGGTCATGATAGTTGGCGCAGTTTTCGAGGTACTGCTTGAGCTTTGCTATGTTGCTGTATGATCGATCCCAGCGATTAATAGCCTGCAATCTTTGGCCCCATAACTCATATTGAAGTTCGAGCTCCAATACTAGAGGCTCAAATTGAATTATGCCATTGGACTCTGTTCGCAAGCATATGGGGAGAATGCATTGCTCAACCATAGCTCGAGCTTGTTCGTCGGCGGAAATCCCCTCGGTGGGTCGACAGTGGTGCACCGGGAAAGGTCTCCAAATAGCAAGTTCGGCATTCCCCTCGCCGAAGACATCCAGGTGGGCGAGTTCCTTGCCTACGTGAGAGCAGAGAATACACCTTTTCTGCTGGGAATAGAACTGTAACGGATAGAATTTGAGGTCCGAAAAGCCCTGGTCAAAATGATCATCTCTCTGAGGGTGGTATTGCGAACCGTCGGCTCCAACGTCGAAAGATTGAGGATTGATCCGAGTGTACACTTCATCTTGGCAAAACACCACGTGTGTGAAGTCATCCCATGGCTGGCAAACTTCGCAGAGAAGCGTATTGTCGCGTCGCTTGAAAGGAGGGTCGTTGCAGAAGGAACAAGTCCAATCATGCTTCCATTCGTCTGGGCAACAACGGCACTTTTTGATCCGCAGGGTGTCTTCTTGCGTGGGTTCGGCCGGTGGAATCTCTAACGCTGGCAGGTCCATCTTCGTGAGTTACTGCAACTGAAATTGTGCCCAGGAAAATATGTTTGGCTTCAAAACCGATTGGCATTTCAAGCTGCAGAGTGCTCCTGTGAAGTTCCCTCTCGAATGTGAGCCTGTTGATCAGGCAGCAGCGTGACGTCTTATGTAACGCAGTAGAGATCGGCGTGCAGCAGCGAAAGATGGGGCTGCCAGATTCTGAGCGAATAGAAGCTGACTATCTGTTGCACATTCTCATGAAGATGTGCATGGTCAGTCGCAAACATGTCAAAGTGGAGAAAAAAAAAAAGGCTTCCGAAATGGGGTCATGGACTGATTAGTGAGGAGCATAAAACTTGCTAATGAAGTACCAACCATCGTTCGAAAGGAATGTCGACAAGGTATGGCGCACGTCTGATTGCTCACAAGGCTGGGCGTAAGTATTACAGGCAATGCGGGTCAGCGATTCAGCGAAGCCTGGCACGTCGAAGCCCAAGAAAGGTGTTGACGGCCTGTCATTTAGTTCTGAGACGACTGCAGACGCAACTCGGAGTCGACGCTTTGCACTGGTGTCGGTGTCAACGTCCAATCTAATCTCCAAAGACTTTATTACTAAACATCTGGGAAAGGAAACTTTCGCCTCTGTGAGGACCATCTGGAAGACAAGGAGAACACGAAGTCGGGATGGCTCGGTATACTTGGACCGACTGCCGTGACCAGGCGACTCCACAGACCACCAGCGA